GCTGGGTCAAGGTTCGGCCAAGCGCTGCTTTCCGATCATTTCCCCAAAGCGACCCCACCCTCATCCCCGGCCCCTCTGGGAGAGCCCTCAGGTGTGTCTGGGCCTTTGGGCTCATGCAGGGCACCTGTGCTTTCTCTAGGGCTCCTCTAGCTCTAGTAAGTGTGCAGGGGGCGGGGGGAGGAGGAGCGGGGGGAGGGGGAGGGGAGAGAAACCCGAGGACGTTAGCCTGGGATGGGGGATCCGAATGAGACTTGACTTGGAGCAGACAGACAGACAGAGCTTGGAGCCCTGGGGTGCCTCTCCATTGTATTTCTGAAGGGTGGGGCCCCCCGGGGTCCCTACGTGCCAAACATTCTCTCATTCCCCTCCCCCCCCCACTCCGTAAGGTGGGGTGCCGGCTCCCGGCAGGTACGGACAGACGGAGTTGGTGCCCTGGAAGGGAGAGCGCGAGCTCTCTGGGGGCAGTGCGGAGCCAGAGCTAATTAACTCCAAACACGGAGCCTGGCAGGACGTGAACCCAGCCCCGCCCCAAGCCCAGCGGCCGTGCCGGGAACTCGGGAGAGGTCGGAAGACGGCTCTGCAACCTGGAGGGTGCGGAGGGAGGTGAGGAAGGGCTCCGATTGCGGGGGAGGCCGCCAGGAAGCCAGGCCGCCCCGCCCCCGCCCCGGCGTCCCGGGACCCCGGCGGGGACCCTCGGAGCGCGACCTCCTGGAATGCCTCCCCGCACGTGCTCCGATCTGCAGCGCGCTCTGGCGCCCCCTTGGAGGAGCGCGACGCGCAGCCCTCCACTCGGGGCGCGGACCCCCTCCCCCCACACTCGGCACCCCGACTTGCAGCCCCAGGGCCCTCCCAAGGTCTCCCGCTGGGCAACAGGCACTAATGAACAAAAGGCCAATTAGACGCCGGGACGCGACTGATGAATGGACCTTTCGCTTTCAAGCGTGGCACCGCCTCGGGTTTGTTGGTGCGCACAGGGTCCCGGCCTGGAGAAGCTGGCTCCTGGTGCGGGGTCACGGCTGGGGTCAGAGGGTTCTCAAAACTCCCCCTCCCCCCTCCCCCCACACACACCCTCGCTACGGTCCTAGTTAGGGGAAATAAATCAGGGGGTCGAGCGGCGGACTCTTGCCTGGGAGCTCGGCATCCGGGCGGGTGCAGGGGTTCAACGCTTTAGGCCCGCATCCTCTGCCCCCGCCCGTGGCTGCTCCAAGGTGCCATCCAAATACATCAGGCGCTAATTTATTTGAAATAATAAAGGTTGTCCTGGGGGGGGGATGTGCAATTACAAAAAGAAAGACATGGTTGTTGTTTGCTAAACTCCCGAGTGGGTAGCGCGATTCCGGAACGGCACCCCAACTCAAGCCCCCTCGCGCAACTCACACGCCGGGATCCCAACACGCACACGCTGCTCTGGTGCTGGGCTTAGATGTGGATGGTCCTGAAGGGAACACACACACACACAGTCGAACTCGAGGAAGTGCCCCGCAGATCACACCTCTTAGATGCCCAACTTCACCAAACCCACGCACACTGAGCAACCCGACCGTGTGTTACCACCTCATCTATCGGCACTCCGCAACCCCCAAACCCTCCATTCCTGCCGCAAACCATAACGATCTAGGTCACCCCCGCCCCAGAAAGACAGACATCTTGGCACCCTCGTGCAATCTAGGCGCAGAGCCTGACCCAGACAATCAGCACCGATACAAAATGGACTGAGGTCCGTGTGAACCCCACAACGGCTCCTCCTCAATCCTCTGTCAGCCTGGTTCACGCACACGACCTCACCCTAACTCGCCCCTTTGCAACCGCCCACATGTGGGCAGCCCGACCCATACCCCCCCCGCCCCCTCCACACAGCATCACCGTGAAGCGGGCTCCCTGCCAGGCCTCCGAACCCCCAGCACCCCTCCCCAGCCGGCCAGTGCAGTCCAGGACTTTGTTTCCTGCGACTCGAGGCGGGGACAGGGAGGAGCCGAAGTTTCCCAAGCCGCGCGCAGGCCCGAGTGCCCATTCTGCCCGGCCCGCCTGGCGCGCCTGACCGGCGGCCACAATCCGCCCCTCGCACAAAAGTGGCCCGGCAGGTTCCGGGCCGCGGCCAACGCGCCCGCTCCGGCTCGGCTCGGCTGCCAGGAGCCAGCGATCCCCGGCAGCAGTCGGAGCCTCAGACACCCAGAATGAGAGCTGAGAGAGAACCGGTCACGGGTGGAGGTTTCACGCGCCTTCCCGGAGGAACAAGCAATGCACGCGGACCCCACGTGTACCTCGTGGGAAAACGCAGCCACGGGCCTACTTGCGTGGTGTATTCCGCTTGACCCTCTCCGGGTAAAGCAAACTGAGAACCCGCGTCGCCTGGACATCCTTTTGGCACTGGGGCCAGGGAGGGGACGGTGGGAGGGGGTGGGGAGGGAGACCCATTAGGAAGAGCCGATAGTAGCCAACAAAAGAAGATCAAATTGTAACCTATATCTCCCTTCGGGGTCACGGGCAGGACACAAGGCAATAGGCATACAATTGGCCTTGAGCTGAGCGGACGGAGCGCACGGCCCGGCCCACGATCGTCCAAGTGCCCTGCCCGGGGGCATCGAGGCCTGGCATCCACGCCACGCGAGGGAACCCTCGGCTCCCGTACAGCCAGCCCAGCCCAGAGGACCCCCGCCAAGCACGCGCGCTCTGCAAAGAGAGACTGGCACGCCGCACACGCGCCCCGCGCACCCTGCCCGGAGTCCCACGCCCAGATAGTCATCGTGGGTTGGCATCCCGCAAATATTTATATTCCTCAGCGCCACAGCGGCCCGCGTCCACATTAGACGCTCTAATCCTGCCACTTTAAATAGATGAATTAATAAAGCAAACGAGCGGCTAATAAGCTGACTGTCCTGCCTTTTTGAGGCGGGGGGCGGGCGGGGGGGAGGGAAGGACTCGAAAGTGCGCCAAATTTGTTTGCAGTGGATCAAGGCGAGCCGCCTCTGCTTCACTTTCTTTATCTTAATTCCGACTTGAAAAGATATAATTATCTAGTTTGAACAGAGCTGCTATCAAATCCTTCTTTGGGCCGGGAAGGGGGGCGTTGGAGTGGATTGCGGCTCTCTGAGCCGCTCCGTGCAGCCGGAGATAGCGCGTAATGAAGATGTGGAGGCCTGAGATACAAAGGGCATTAACCTCATTAGCATGAAACCTTTTCTTCTTACCATTGTGGGACCCTTTCAGCCGCCTAATCCCCCCTATTTTCAAAGCTTGGTTTGTAATAAAGCTTTTAGTTTTTTTTTTCTTCTCTCAAAGCTAATAGTATTCTCTGATGATTTTATTGCTGTTCCACACTACATAGGACATTTACAAAAAAAAAAATTCTTCACTACACCCCCTCTTTCTTGTACTTAAAGAAATTACGTATATGGTTCCTACCGAAAGTAGTCTTTTGATCAAGATGGGAGGAAAAATTCTGCAACGGTCACCCTGAATTTTTGCGCTCTGCATTTGAAGTGTTTGAAGTTTGGGAATGTAGGTGGAAAGAAAAGGTAACTTGGCACTCACTGGTTTAAGCGAAAGTGCTATGGATTCGGAGCAGCAAGTAAGAAGCGCTCTGGACAGGAAACAGTCCCTGAGGGGCCACTATCCCCGCCGCTGAAACCTTCAGGCAGGTTTCCCAGGTAGCCCGCTGCACCTGTCCCTGTAGGAGGCAAGCTTGGCTCCCTGAAGCCACCCCACTCACCCAGACAGAACCACAACTCACACTTTCCAAAGAGGAATCTAGTGGGAAAACAAAGTATGAGCAACCAGATCTACAGAGGGGCAAAAATGGAGGGGAAAGAGGGAGAGGGGCAGAGAGAGGGAGGAGAGGGAGACAGACAGAGAGAGAGAGAGAGAGAGAGAGAGAGAGAGAGAGAGAGAGAGAGAATTCTGCTTTACAGCAGAAGAGGAAAAACCAGAAAGAAAAAAAAATTCCATAGTGCCCTATAGTCCCCACACGTGCGTAGAATGTCTAATCTTAACTTTTCAAGGCAGGATGTTAACAAAGCTTGTATTTTTGCCCTGCATTGTAACTTGGCCTTATCGCAGTGTAAAGGGTGGGGAGATTGTCCTAAATTATGTCCAGGCAGCCCCCCTGGATCTGTGGATTAAGAGATTAAAGGAAACCACTGGGCAAGGCCTCCTCTTTCCTTCATATTCCTGGTATGATAATTGCTTAAACTGATTTGCACTTTCACAAAAGCTCGCAGGACGCTTTGTAGCCCGAACAGAACAGACGAGGTTTCTCTATCAATGGAAATAAAACTGATTAATGCAGCCTATCAGGATAAGAGGCAAATGAAGCATGCAAAAACAACCTCATACCCCCAGAAGGGGGAAGGAGGGAGGGGGGAAAAAAAGCTAAGTTTCCTCCAAGAATAGTTACAACTTTTTCTTTAATGTTAAAATTAAGAGTTGAAGGTTTCCCCCAAATGCTTGCCTTATATGGCTCCTGCAGGCCGCTTCACTCATCCCCACCAACTCTGGCAGCTTGGGGCCAGGGAGAAAGGAAGGAAAGAAAGAGGGGAAGGAAGGAAGAGATGGGGGCAGGGGAAACTTGCACTTAGAGAGTTGAAGTCAGAAACAAAGTTTAGAAGTCCCCGGATGCTGGTTCTGCTACATGTTTTTCCCCAATCCTGAGGAATACTCTTTAAGAGAAAAAGAAAAGGCAGAATTAGGGATCTGCAAGCATTTTTAACCTAAAGTTGAAACCAAATTCCCTCAGAGGGCATGCCACCAACAGACAAAGGTCTGCTTGGAAAACGTTTCTCTTTCCTTTTCTAAAAGACTTTAGTTGTCCTAATCTTCTACCTTCTCCATTCTCATCTCTCTTTAAAATGACCCCCCCAAGCCATCAGTTTGTGGACCCTTTGTGGGTGGGAAATCAGGGGGTTGCTTGAGCCTAGTTGGCAAAAGACCACACTCAAATTACAGGGATTTTTTTTTTGGGGGGGAGAGTAAAGATTGACTTCAATTTCCCAAGACAACTACTCTGAGGGCATATTGATAAATCTTTATTGACAAAATATTGACATTGACATACTTCTTGGAAGTATATAGTGTGTTAGAATTCTAACAAATTAACACAAAACACAAAAATATTTACATTCTGGTATAGAAGACATTAAGGAAGCATTTGTCACTCTCTTTAGTAAGTCTATGGTCTTGGAAGAGAAACTCTGCTTGAAAATTTGCCGGTGTCCTTGGCATACTAGCATTATCCTTGCTAACTACAGTCCTTCAGCTTTTGCAATAGGTAGATTGTAAGTTTTGAATAGATCATTATTGTGAGTGGTTGAACTCCGCCAATTTCTTCAACCACTAAAAGGAGAAGCTTATTTCATGATTTTTTTTAAGCTTCAGAATGTTGGGAAAGGGATTGTCCAAGAATTATAATTAATTTGAAGGATTTTTTTCCTCCCCCAGCACAAGTCCTGATTCTTCTTGTGGACACCCTCCCACACCACCCCCATCCCTGACCCCATCCTGTTCCCCCCGTTTCTCTGTAAGAGGACCACTATCTCCAAGCCTATTTCATTTAGCGTTCACAATCACTTTGACATGAGAGAAGGTATCAAAAAGTGTTTACAGACTGCACGTTTCTCCAAAATAAAAATAAAAATTAAAAAACACACAGAACCTGTCTTTAAAAAAAAGGAAGGGGAAATAAAATTACAATTCATTTGTTTTTAGACACCATTCACCCAACAACTGCTACATGCAATTCAAGTTTTTGAAACAGGTGTGGGATGGGGCTAGATATGGAATTTCACTTGTTATTACTAATTTTTTAAGATTGGGGAAGAACACTTGGAAGTGCAAAATTAAAAGTCCTGTGCCTGGTTGGGTTGGATTTTTGTATAAAAACATTATTATTATCATATTTTAAGTGGACTGTGATAAACGGAATACCTGCCAATCATCTTGTCTCCCTGGTTTGGCATTTGACTGACAGCTCCCCTTGTCAGAGTGCGAGGTCAGCTTTGCCACACTGGGCTAGCACTCTCTCTCTCTCTCTCTCTCTCCCTCTCTCTCTCTCTCTCTCCCTTCCCTTCTTCTACCTCACTCACTCAATCATTCAATCACTCACTCAGCTGCCTCTTTAGACGAGGGTTGTACGTTGATGAAGGAGTCTCCATCTTCCGCCATCCCTGCCTGGTCTCCAACTGGGACCCAGCGCCCTCGCTGTCCAAAGTCTGCGAAGCACAAAGTCGCTCCTCAGATCCTCTCTCCCTTTCTCAATGTGTGTGCGGTTTTTGTTTTGTAGGATTTTTTTTCCTTCTTCCCCTTCTTTCCCAGTCTGTTTTCTTTTTCTTTTCCATGTTGCTGTCCATTTCTGCGGGGTTAGGTTTGTGTTTTTAATCATCTGAGGTCACGTCTATTTCCTCCGGACTCGCTTGCTTGGTGGCAATTCTCCACCGATTAATGTGGTGCGTCCCTTTTTTCTTTTGTTGTGAATCTGAGCCTTCTTCCTCCAGCTTCTGCCTTTTGAACTTCGTCCGCCGGTTTTGAAACCATACTTTTACCTGCGGGAGAAGCAGGTGGGGCCACATTAGATGCTTCAAGGCGCCCTCCCACCAAGGGCTTGAACCCAGCTCCAAATCAGACCCCAGGGCAAGGGAGAGAAAGCCCAGTCCTCCAGATGCATATCCACAGGACCAGCTGCCCCTCGGCCTCCCCAGCAGATTTAGGCCCCTGAGACTGAGGGTAGGTAGGAAGCTCAAGCCCATGTCCCAGTTCCTTGCTCTTCCAAGCCCTACCAGAGGGCCCTCCCCCAGGGCCTTGGGGTCCCCACAGTGCACTAAACCCTTGCTGGTCTGGCCCTGCCCAGAACACACACATTCCCCTGAGAGCAAAGGCCTTGAAAAGTATGAGAACGCCAATAAAACAAGAAGTATTAAGAAAGGCTCCTAACTTCCCCAGCAAGGAAGTACAGGGAAGACCTCTGTCAGGCTAGCGTCCTTGCAGAAAAGCGCAGTGTGCTTTCTATTTTCTGCTGGTCTGACAGTGCCTAAATATAGCGCCTCCTCTGCCAGGCAGAGGCCCTGGTAGAGGATCTTAGTCTGCAGGAGCCGTGGCCTTCTTGCCGTGGGGACTCACGCAGGTGTGTAGGAGTCAGGTGGAGGCAGAGGAAGCCAGTGGGCAGTGAGGTACACAGACCCCCAGGCACGGCCTTGCTGTCCCTTTCGGGCTAGGAAAGGGGGCTTCCAAAGTGAAAGCTTCCCCAAAGGGTAGGATAGGTCGGAAATAACCAGAGAAAGTGAAGAAGAAGGGGGCACAGAGAGAAACTCCCAATTTCCCTCAGCCCCACAACAGGTCAGAGTTAAAGTGACCCCTCACCAAATCAGGAACGGCAGCCTGGCCTCCCCACAACCACTGCTAGAGGTCTAGGCAGCAAGGAGGTTTAAATCTGTGGCAACCAGATGGCCCACCGGGAAGTCGGGAGGTGGGTCTGCATTCAGCAAGTAGACAAGACAGGAATATATCCAACCTTGGCAGCAGTGGGGTACAGATGAGTTAGTCTGGGGGACAGCGGGGGGGGGGGGGGGCTCCTTGGTCAATATTCCCCAGCCTTGCTAAATCCGTAGCCATCCAAGCAGGTCCGACCCTCCCCCCCCCCCCAGGTCCCTCTACTCCCTCCTTTAAGACAGCCACCGAGTCCGGCTTGCTCTCCCCGAATGCCCCCGGTCCCTTAAAGTGCCCCACGAAAAAGCAGAGCGGGAACAAGGCTGAGTTTAATTTGCTTTGAGTTTGCTAATTGAGGAGGAGGACGGTTCAATTCTCCCCCCGGCGCTCGCCCAAGGCGCGCGTCGGTGCGCTCAGGGCTTGACACGCACACAAAGAATTCAGGCAGAGTGGGCAGCGAGGCGGACAAAGACCACCGCTGCCTGGGCTGTCCAGGAGAAATCAGCCTGGCCTTGCCTGCTGCACAAGCCCGCGAGGCCCACTACGGTTTTTGTCAAGGGTGTGTGTGGGGTGTGTGGTGGAGGGGAACATTTTAAAAACAAAAGCCTCGACCTTTTCTTTTTTTCCTTTTTCTTCTTTTTTTGCGCTTCCCAGGAAAAGTGTTACAACTCAATCTGCCAGAAAATGTTACTGAGCGCTGAGAACTTTGACCCCGCCCTTTGGCTTCTTCTACAGTAGGTGCTACTGTAGCCTTGCGCCCCCTCCCCATGCTGGGGCCAGCCCCAAACCAGGCCCACTGAGGGACCTCGCAGCGCCGAGGGGCCGATCTCCTGAGGCGAGCCCTCTCCATAGCCTCCCGGCTTTATTGCTCAGTTTCTGGGTGCGCCCCCAGAGTTCCTGCCCCCCAAGCTTCGAGCTGTTTCGTTCCCCTTAAAGGGAGTAACTGGGAGCGGATGATGAAAGCCAAGGACCTTAAAGTCGTCCAGAACTTGCTTTTAACCCACTTCCTCTTTCCCCAACCAGCCGGACAGCAATTAGCCTCCTGCAGGACCCCTTTTGGGGTCTCACCAAAAGTGCCAGGCGTCTTACTAGGGGTGATCAGGCCGGCTCCACTGAGCAGAAGGAGCAGCCCACCACGCGGGCCGAGACAGCCTCCTGGGGAGGTTCCGCAAAGCTAGGCACCTGGGAAGCCACACACCGGGGCCCCGGTTGAGGAGCCGAGTGCGTGGGGCCCTTCGCTAAAGCCCCTCTCCTGCCCTAAGCTGGAGCTGCGCACCGGTGTGGGAGGTGCTGGGTGCTGGGCTCCTGGGTCCCAAGGTCTGGGGCGAGAGGCTGACGCTTGCTCTGGGCTCCTGGGCCGCGCTCACCTGAGTTTCGGTAAGGCTGAGGCTGTGCGCCAGCTGCTTCCTCTCGGCGCCCACCACGTAGTGGTTCTTCTCAAAGGCGTGTTCCAGCCGCAGGAGCTGGGACGGCGAGAAGGCGGTTCGGATCCGCTTGGGTTTTCGGGCCAGCGCGTTGTGCAAAAGGAAACTCTCGGGACTCGTGTCGTTCCCTGCGGGGGTCGGGGCAGCACAAGGGCCGTTAGGAGGCCGCGGCCGCCAGCGCAGGGCGCTTCTTCTTCGGAGCCGGACCGGGGCCGCTGAGCGCTCCGGGCGGCGCCTGGCTCGCGCTGCCCGACCCACCCGGCCCGGTGGCCCTCCCTGGGCGAGCGAAGCCCAGCTGGCAGGCCCCGGCCACCTGTGTGGCACCCAAGAAGTAGCTGCCTCACGTAGCGAGTCTCCACACCACCAAGCCTGGCGCTGGGGCCGGGGAAGAGGTGACGGGTCCTGGCTGCGAGATGGGAGCCGGTCCCCCATCCCAAAAATAAAACCCTCTCTTCTTACTAACTTCGCGGGCAACTTTGAAACAACCCCCCCTCACACACACACACAGTGGAGAGGCGGAGGGCTGGTTCCCCGGGACTTATTACTACTACTATTGTTATTATTATTATTATATGACCCGTGGCAGCCGGCCTGGGACAGAAATATGGCGAGTGTGCCCGGCTTCTACTGCCGCTGCCTTCGGAGGACCCGGCTCTGGGGTTCCCCGGTTACAGAGAACGAGGACAGAGCTGTGATCAAAGTCCAGGGGACGGAGGGGGGACGCCGAGTTTCGGGTGCCCGCTAGAACTGTCCGCGTCCCACAAGATCATGCCCTTTGCTTCAGATCCGGGTGTGTGTGTATGTGTATGGGGGTGATCCATAGCGTGGCTGGCACAGAATGAGAAAGGGACCCCTAAACTTGGAGAGCACAGCCAGAATGTTTCGGATTCACTTATTAGAGCAGGAAATCGATGGGGGGGGGAGAGAGGGGAAAAAGCCAAACAAAGAAAAATAAACCGATAACCCTGGGTGGGGTGGGGATGGAGGCAAATTCAGGGCAGGAATGAGGTCCTAAGGTTTGAGGGGGGGGTTGTTTATCTTTTAACAATGGAATGAGGGGGGCGACAACTACCCGATCCTCTCCCGCAGGCAAGTCAAGGGTTAATGGATGGACGGGCTCCCGAGTGGCGAACGGACGCCTCCCTGGCCCAGCGGCTCGGGATTCCGTTCAGTAAACTAATTATTTTCTGGAGTTTTAACTTTCTTCCCTAGCCCTAACTCAAAGCGGGGGGAAAAAAGCAAATGATTTTCTTTAAAAAAAATAGCAAGAAGATATCCAAACAGATCTTTCCGCCTTCCCGGCCCATCTCTCTCTACCTGGCTCATTTATGTTTAAAAGAAAAGAAAAACAAAAACCAGACCGAACCTGCCTGGGTCCCTCCCCGCCCGCCCGGCCGCTCCGTGCGGCTCCAGCCAAGCCGGTGGCGGGAGAGAGCCGGGCTCTGGGGTTTGGTGTGGGTTTTCTTTTCCCTTAATGATTATTATTATTAGTGTTGGTTTTCCTTTGTTGGTGTTTGTTTTCCCTCCTCGCACGGTCCTGGCCCCTCTCCAAGGTCTCCAAATATCGGGGAGCAGGAAATACTTCCTTTCGGGGTCGCAAAACGTCCCCTGGCCCCTGCGAAAGGGTCGAAGGCCGATGACTTAGGGGGGGATCTGGGCGGAAGGGCTGCGGAGAGAGCGGCCGGACAGAGTTGAACTGGGCGGACGGTGAGCCCCGCGGCCGCGTTCCCGCGGCGCCCCTCGGACCCAGCGCGGCCCGCCGGCCTGGGACGCCGCCGAAAGAGAGAGGGAAGCCTGGGGACCCCCGCGGGCT